AAAAAAAAACATAAAGGACTTGCGGGAAAAGGAAGGCGTTGCGCAAAAAGAGTATGTAAACTTTAAATAACGAATGCTTTCGTTGTATCGCTTCACCTTAGTCTAGTTGTTCATTTTCCGCTGACTTGATCTCCATAGGTGCGTGGTTCAAATCCTGGACAAGCCATGTAATGTATTATTGTGTCCTTTTTTATTCAAATACTACTTTAATTGATTTTATATCWTATCAAACTTAAATAAAGYGATAATCAATTCTTATCTATCAGACTTCGGAATTTTAGGTGAAAATTCCGATAAATCGGAAAACCCTTTTAAGGTGCGGTAACATTCACAACAAAATAGCACAACTTTATAATTTTTATTACCTCTTTAACCTTTATTTTCTATATTGTCTTCTTTCAACCTGTCAAAGAAAGTGTGAATGCAATCAAAATGATTTACTTGTCTCAGATTGCAATTGTACTCAGTGCTTATATAAAAATGATTCCAAGCATGCACTCCGTATACATTGAAATTAGAGAAATCAAACTAATTGAATGGAAATTTTATAATCTTCAAGTACATTTCTTCAAAAGCCAAGCTTTTTAAAGCTTTTTTTAAGTATTAAAATACTCTTCAACAAGCTACATGTAATAACTTATATATTTAAAGCAACGCAAGCAAATGCGTTTTATAGTGCTTTCAATTTACTTCAAAAAGTCATATTACAAAGTATTTAAAAGCTAAAACAAACATTACTGATTTCCTTACCCTTGAGTTTTCTCTTGGATGTTTTGCTTCTCTTGTAGACTCCGCCGTTGTGGTAAATCGCTGCGTGAATATTCCCCAAATTTGAGCAAAATCAAAACATCTAAACATCAATGCGCCATTCTAGTCATTTTCTTAACGGGATAAAAGAGTTTTAGAACAAGAAAAAGCTAAATGATTCATCCAAATCCGCGTTGAGACTGCCATTGTTACTAACCTTTCTTCTCAAGTATCCGCCACCTTAAAKTTTGGACAGGGAAAAGTCTACAACTCCAAATATGGAATATGCACATTCCTTATATGGACATGGCCGTTAGCTGGGACGAAGGRCAATCGCCGCTTTCGAATTATTTAATATGATAAATTTGAAATATGATCCAATATGAGTATTCTTGCCAAATTTCATGCTTGTAGCA